CTAGGCATGACCACAGGTAGAGGCAAATGTACTTGTGCACCCTATTAGCTCCAGGAAGTTGTGCCATCCTGAGGTTGATGATGCCCTCTGTAGGACACATGGGAAGAGCAACAATCTCTTTTATTTCTTAACTCAAACAATCATAGAAAAATGAATCTACCAAGAGCAAGAGGCAGTTAAGGATAGTATTACATTTCTACTATGGCTTCTGCATAGTAATTCAGAAATGTAGGAACCATAAGGGAGATATGCAATTGCATCTGGAGGCCTGTATTAACTATTAGCAACCAAATGGACGTTGCATAATTGGACAGAATATTTTTTCCTACATGACTCCTTCATTAATAAACAACTGGACAAGACAACAATCCCCCCCCCCCCAAATCTCTGGTTATGTCAGAAACTTTTAAGTATAGTGATTGATGCAATAATGTACTTTTTATTACTATTTGAATCAGAATCCTTGGATACATAGCCCAACATTAAAAACTGCTACAGTTCATCTGAAGAACCTCATTCATAGATTTTGACTCGAGTTTCATTTTGAAGCATTTCATAATTTCCTTTGTGTTCTTGCTTGAATTCATGTGATTGCCTTTGTTATTCCATCATATAGTGGCATATTTGCTACATAATTTTCATAGTCTCAGACTGCACTGCACCTCAATCAACTCATTGTATCTCCTGCTAACAAAGGTAGAGAAAAACCCTTTCCATTCAAGTGAGAGTGAACATTTCAATAGGAAGGCCATGAATCAGTAACAGAAATCCAATGGATGAGGTGAAGGAAAGATCTTTCTCTCTGACTCACTCACACACATGGAAAATGTCACAAGAACTCAGGTTGCTGAATTGGGAATTGGGAGAGAAAAAAAGACACACTTTGGATCTGTTACTGAATTGTGCAGAGGATTAGGGTTAGACTATGGAAATACTGAGGGACAGAAGGAAAAAATTCTGACAGAACTGTATTGACAGAGGAAGAGGCATGAAAGCAGAGAAAGGGGGAAGAGGCAGAAAAAGGAGTAATTGCTTCTTGTTAATAGTGAATGCCTTCTCCTAATGTTCTTGTAGACAGAAAATTTCTCAGGTCAAGCAAATTAATACCTGAAATTCATCTGACATGGTGCCAATTTCCTTGTTAATACATGGATGAACTAACAAGGAGAGTGCATGGGAGGTTCTCCAGATGTGTGGACATCAGTTTTCAGGATTCTAATGGTGATGTTAGTTGGGGAATTTTGCAGATTGTCCAAACATCTGGAGACTGCCAAGTTTGGGGAAGTTGCTATTAGTGAGGGTTTGAAGGAAGACTGTTATACATAATTTTTCACAATTTTATTGCCCTTTTTCTGTAGTGTTCTTTCTTATATTATTATTTATCTCTTCAATTGCATAGCTAGCTTGTGCCATCTGGATACTTGAAATGATTTTTGCCTATCCTATTGTTCTACAGTGTTGTGTAGTTTAAAGTAGAGAAAAATTAGTTAGGTAAATCTTTTTAGAGTATGGAACTTGATGATAAAAACACACAAAACTGGCTTAGATGTTAACTGTATGTTGATTAAAGAAACTTCATTGTTCAATGTTCAGAATAAGCATTTATTAAACATTCCAGGGTCAAACTAGATGGTGTTATTCATATTTTTAATTGAGGTGTATATTTATGTATGTATTGCTGGGGAGAGGCATAATAGCAACTTTTCTTCTAATGTAAATAGCAAGTGTGGGAGGTTGATCCTGACTGAAATTATGCCATACATATACCCTGGTTTTTATATGGCATAGCCTGATAGCACTATTTTCATCTAATAATATCCTGCAATTGTTATGTATTTTTAGCTACTCTAGTTTTAAAGCAGAATTTTCCCTTTTCTCCCGACACCAGCATTTTTATTGGGGCCATGAACTAGCATGTTTTTAACAACCTTGTAATCCCTTGCTTCAGGGTGGAATTGGAGCAACCAAATGGAGCTGAGCATTTACAGGCCAGATGCCCTTCCTGCCATCTATGTAGGGTTCGCAGTAGTTGTCTTCTCTTTGCATCCTAATAGAGAAACATATGTCACTGCCAAGGATTGAATTCTCAACCTTCCAAGTGGGAGGTGGGCATCTTCACCTCTAGGCCTCTGTACTGGTTGGGCCACGAACAGGCATAATCCTCCCTTCTGGGTAATTCTGTTACAGGCTGCAGGAAAATCTGGTTCATTCAAACTGGGCTATTCACTATGTTTCTGGTTATTTCCTTGCTTGGAGAACTGCATCAAGCAAAACTGAAGCTGAGTAGTAGAGGAGTGGGGGGGTACTGCATTGAGAAACAGAAGCAGTAGCAGTAGCACTTAGACTTATATACCGCTTCATAGTGCTTTACAGCTCTAAGCAGTTTAAAGAATCAGCATATTGCCCCCAACAATCCGAGTCCTCATTTTACCGATCTTGGAAGGATGGAAGGCGGAGTCAACCTTCAGAAATATAGATTTCTCTCTGCCACTTCAGACTA